AAAAAAAAAACCAAACCAAAAAACAGTGCTGGGCGTGGTGGTGCACGCTTGCCACCCCAGCACTCAGGAGGCTGAGGCAGGATGAGTGCTGAGAGTTCCAGGCCAGCCTGGGCTACACAGTGAGAACTTGTCTCAAAAAAACCAAAGGAAAAAAACAGAAAGGAGCCGGGTCTTCCTGTGGGCCCAGGGTCCCAGGCTGCGCCCCTCCGCCCTTCCCCACAGCGCATCCTGGAGGACAAGGACGGGGCGCCACTGCCGGCTGCGCTGGTGCAGCCGCACACAGGGACGCTGCGCTGGTTCCTGGACGAGGCTGCTGCGCGCCTCCTGTCTGTGCCCTTTGAGAAGCACTCGACGCTGTAACCCCAGAGGTCACCGAGCAGTGATCCCGCCCCCACTTCCCGTCGGAAAAGACCGGCGGCAGGGAGTCGCCCACGCTGGCCGCCGAGGCCTGATTAAAGGGCGTTGCCGGAAACCCGGAGTCCCTGTCCTCCATGGCGCCCTCGGCGGGGCCCGTCCCGGGGTGGAGGGTGGCATTGTACCCTGCGCTGGGCATGCGGAGCGGAAGCGGAGCGGGGTGAAAGCCGAGGCAGGAGGGTCCGGAGTTAGGGTCCGCCCTCAAAGCAGGACTCTGAGCGGGCTGCGGATGGAGCTCTGTGGTTTCGCGGCCTGCCTCGAAAGCGCAAGGACCCGAGTTTGATCCCTGGTACAAAACAAAACAACAAAAATAAAACTAAGGGGGCGGCGCTCAGCGGCGAGGAGACCCAGGCTCCACTCCAGCGCTGGGCGTGTGCGCGCGCACACACACACGCGCACACACACACACGTGTGCACGTATGCGCACCTAGGGCTGCAGTCACGGGACTTAGGCGCCAGGACGCCCTCCATGAGCGACCCCTCCCCAGGCCCTCCCAGTGAGCTCTGACCCAGACCCGGTGGGAGTGGCCGCTGCCCTGCGCAGTGCAGATGTCCTCCCGCTGAGTGGGGGCTGAGGCTGTGGCAGGCAGGGTCGTCCCCGGAGGCCCGTGAGGTGGAATTGAAACCACCACGTGCAGGAGGCTTCGTGGGAGCAACCGGGGCCGAAACCACAGAGTGAAGTTGCCTCTGTGTCCCTGGGGGGTGGGCAGGGCAGGTGGAGGGGCAGGCGCTGGGGGTCCAGAGAGGCTGCCTGGAGCTGGGGCCCGCAATGCCACAAACTCTTGGGGGAGCTAGGCGTGGTGGTGCATACCGGAAGTCCATGCACTTGGGAGGCTGAGGCCAGAGGATTGCCTGAGTCCAAGGCCAGCCTGTGCTAAGTAGCAAGACCTTGTCTCAAAAAAAAAAAAAAAAAAAAAAAAAACCT